GTTATTTGGCGTTACAGGAAACTGTGCTGCCTGCAGTAAGCTCATACCTGCTTTTGAGATGGTGATGAGAGCGAAGGACAACGTTTATCACCTGGACTGTTTTGCATGTCAACTTTGTAATCAGAGGTAAGAGAATTGCTTGGGTCTGTTCCATAAGCTAAGTGCTAATTCAGCACTGGTGGGGACATACATTTCAGTGAAGAGGAAACATCCACCAGTAGTGGAAACCCCAGATGGAGAGCGAGACTTGGATACTTTTCCTGGGACTGATACAGAATAACTTTCATGACCTTGGCCGGAAAACTTTTTGTGCCTCAAATCCCGCATCAATAAAAAAGAATAATGTTACTTCCTCTCCTTCAAAAGGCTGTCAAGTTTAATTAATTAATATTTATAAAGGACTTTGAGATCCTTTTCTGCACAAGAGCATAGCAGTACCATTTGTCATTATTACATTAATTTCACTTTAATTCTTCATTTTTATCACATGTATTTCTTTTAAAGTACATGTTGTTTCTTCCTGTTGCCAGAACTGTAATCATTTAAATTTAAAAGATGTTGTTCCCACCATTTTCTCTGTAGCGGCCTTGGACTTCTTATGCCATATTTTTATTTCCATATCCTAACCGTAGGTTATAAAAATCCCAAGGATCCAAACCGGACACTTTGTTCTGAAGCATCACCCATATGGTACCTTTGCAGAAGGAATGTCAAAAATGGTAAAATTGTAACAACTGAATTTTTCAGAGGTGAATACAGCTAAACTTAAGAGCAACTACATTCAGAGTGGTGGCCAAATCCTGTCAGAGACTCCACGAGAGCTGCTAGCAGCTTTGCCAGTGACTTCTATGAGGTCTAGGAAAGGAGAGAACCAATTATGTCCACTCCTTAATGTACCTATTATTTTCAGTTATTTTTCAGTTATTACATGATCCTATTTAGAGTTTTATAGTGTTCATATTTTTTTCATTTTCAGGTGGGAAGAAACACAAGATGTACAATTCTCGTGAAGTAACAAAAAATTAGGAAGATAATAGTCCAACACGACAAAGTTAGATACAGCTCTAAATAAGCTTTGCTAACTCACCTTGTCCTACGGTGTATTATTTTGTAACACTGTAGTCATTTAAAAATCAAACATCCCTAAAGAACCATAAAATGTACAGCTGCTAATAAGCGTAGCACACTACAATTACGCTCTTTAAAAAAAGCCAAATTGACCTTTTTCATCATGTTGCATGGGAAATTAAAATACCAGGCAAGTAATAACCACTGCTTAAACTATATAATAATGCAAAGTAATTATAGGTTCTAATGCTATTTAAAGTCCTATATCAATTTTGTCTTGCCACAGAACTAAGAGGCTCATATTCTGAGTGAGGAAGGCAGAGCCTCCCATAGTACCCACTTAAGTAAGACACACACATTCTTAGGTTTCATTTCTTAAACGCTTCACATCCCTAGGTTTTTTTTTTCAAACCACAGTTCTAGTATCATTATTAAAGCGCCTAATATATTTCTGTTGTTCGCTTCATTTATTACATGCCATAATGGGGCTGCATATCTTTAGTGTTGGTTATGCACAATTAGCACTTAGTTATTGTCTTGTCACTTCAGCCTATACAAGACAAACTTCTTTAATGTAAGAAGTCAGCTAATCTTCATCAGTCAAGCAAAGCAGACAATGTTTGTTACCCTGAGTGCAAAAGATTTTCATCATAGTTAGCACTCTTGGGTCTGAGGAAGTGAACTTTCTTTTTCTCCCCCCCCCCAAAAAAGCAAAGCTGTTGTGATTATTTTTAATACTCCTCTTTTACCATTACAAGTGTGAACTAATGTACAATTTCACTTTGCAGCTAATATACATCATACCATGCCCTAGGGCTACTGATCCCTCTGGAAAAGTGCTGTTAGGTGCTTCTGAAATGGAGCTTTCATGGGATATTTAATAATTCTTAGCCTTGTCATTCCTGAGCCTTCAATCTAGTCTTTTATTTGATTTTTACTTTGCATGTAGTTTGGGCAAAGGGTTGCTGAAATAGTCTTACAGGAGTCTTAGGCTGGGAACAAAAGAATTGAGTTACCTGAAATACAGTCTAGTTCATCTAGTCAAAACAGGGAGCAGTTCCAGAATTTTCAAAGAATTTCACAAATTCTCAAAAGTGGCCCTAATCCTGTTTATATTGCAGTAGCTCTCATGGAGCCTAATAAAACAGACTGCCTGTAGGGTACCTTTCTTCCTCAATTTGGGGCTAGTGGCACTCTGAAGAATTAATTTTGTTGTTTTTTACAATAAACCCTATTTCATGGATGCTCCAATGTAGCTCTTCTGTGGTTCCTATGGCAAAGCATCCCACTGACTACATTCTTTCATTAATAAATAGCTTTAAATCTTTTGTTCTTCATTACTTGTATAACAACAAAACCCAGAAATGCTAGACACCTGACCCATCACCAGTTTTGGAGGTTTTTTATATTTGCTATGAAATCTCTTTTTCTTTTCTTATAAACTGAATAATCTTGTCAGTCACTATGACATTAATAATTTCTGTTGCCCTTCTGAGGATGCTTTTTCTTTCCTCTTGTTAAGCTAATCAAAACCAAACAGCAGATTCTGAATGAGGATAAGTTTATAAGATAGCAGTTTAGTTTTCTTTCTTTATTCCATGCTGCCCCTTTGTATGCAAAATCATGTTATTGAGGGTTTTTAGATCTGCTCTTTCCTTTCACTCCAGCCACTACCCCTAATGTGGAATTTATTTATTGAAGAGAATATCTTTATTTACAAACACATCAGCAATATCCAAAAATCACCAATGGAGGTAGCAAGGCTCACCAGTTATTGCAAGACCTGTATGTTTGACCTATTCCCCACCTTCACATTCTCTTCCGCCATTAAATTTTAAATCCTTTCGGTCATTCCTTATACCAAGAAAAGTATAACATATGTGGAGTACTACCACAAAGTATATAATGCTCTCTGTTTGGTTCCATATTTCAGATTTTCAGTTATAATCTAGCACTTAGTTTTTTTCCTAACAGAATATATGCAGTGTTAATGAGCAGACTAAATAATTTCTTCAGTTCGCATTACTTTGTCTTCGCCAACACTGAATTTCTTCTGATGTTCTGTGCCTGGTTGGTCCTTCCAGTCCCTTCTTTCTGCCTTCCGAGCAATAATTGCATTAACTCACGTCACACTAATCCTTGGGGCAGCCTGTTCTTCAGGCTTGCTATTGTATGACCCTCATATTCCTACCATTTAAATAGTTGATCCTGGCCCAGTGAGAGAGGCCTGCCCATTTTTGCCTAGTGCTTTTTGTGAAAGATTCGGTGATTTTTCTGCTTTTATCTACAACTCACCATCCAGCTCAAGGCTCAGTCTGGATGGTAGTTAGACCCCCTTGACTTCAGGGGGCTTTTGTTCAGGCCATAAACTCCATCTCCGAACTAACTCATAATGTGGCTGTCCCCTTTTATTGGCCTCCTGAAGGCTACATTTTCAGAGTGAGAAGAAAAACACATTGTCTCACATACTGTATTCTAGGAAGGCAGACTGTAGACAGGACTGTAGACATAGACAGGACTGAAAGAGATCTCCTGAGCCACCAAGCCTAGTCCCCTGGTATCAAATAGGCACTGTCTCGTATTTTCACTTTCATAAAGCTATTCAGCTCTAGGATCTAATTGCTCCGTCCAGCCAGTTTTTGACATATTTTCCCCATTTTTTCTTGATACTGCTGCTTAATGCTGTAGGGATTTTGTGAATATTAAGCTCTGCTCCTAGCCTAAAGGTTTTAGCATCCCCTTATCTTTCATGTCTCTGTCCAGCTTACTCCTAATTTGAAGTTTTTCCATCTCCTAAATACCCGCAGAGCTTAGTGACAGTCATCTTAATGGTGTGAGTGCTCCCCTTTCTTCTCTGTAAACATATTAAACTTCTCCTCGGAAGCACTTCACCTCACATTGGCAGTAGCCTCAATATAGTTAATTTCTGCAGAAAATTTAAAGGAAAAAAACCATGGAAACTACTGGAAAAATGAACTTGTAAACAGACACTGCCTTTCACACTTTGTCAGGTTGCATGTCTGTGACTAGCAAAATGGAGTGGAAAATCTTGCGAGTGGGCTCAGCTGTATCTTTGCTTGACACTTTTGACTACAGCGATGATGTCAGTCTGCCTTCGGCTTTCCCACTTTCCGGAGTTTCCATGTCCTTCCTTTCACTCTCTGTCGGCTGCTTTAGCAGCTTGTTCCATACTTCTGCGATATTTTCTTTCTGCCGTTTTAAGACAACTCGAGGTATGGTTTAAAACCCCCATCTGCTATCACTGAGGGGTGTTTAAATCAACTGTTCTATCCTTCTATCCGAAACAGCCTCTATTTTAATGGGAACTGGACTGAAAATGGTTACACACTCATTCAAATCACTGTCCTGATGTAGCTGTAAGCACTTACCTCCAGTATAAACTGTAAAATGCCCACACAATGCCGCCTTTGTTCTCTGTCAAGTGGGGGGAGGGAATGCAATGCCAGGGACATCCTTATTTCAAACACCAACATTAGATTTTTGCGTGTCATTTTATAAATTCTGAAGACTTGAATACTGCTTATTTTCGCCGAGTGTCTCTAAATTTAGAATAAAAATTAATACATTTTCCATTCCCGCTTTTAAAAAAATAGTAAGTGAAAAGTTGAGGTTAGTCGTTGTAAGCTGAACTAGGATTCCGTGTGTATATATACTACATCGTGCTGGTAAAAATGTACGAACCCAGGCACAGCTCCCACTTTCCAGCCTTTGACAAAAAATTGACATCTTGACAGAATCCTAGAATTAGTAAACCATAGATGTGGACTGATGAACTGTGATGTAAAAGAGTGGCTTCATTCTCTTAGTGATGCATATAGAGTCACATTAATTTGTGTTATACTGGAAACTCAAAGGAGCTTTAAAAAAAAGAGGAAAGGAGGAAAAGCGGAGGAAAAGCAGAGGGCAAGTTACATCACTGAGTGCACAAAGCAGAGGGGAAGGGTGTGGGTGTGGTAAGTCTGAGCTTTCTTTATCCTAGAGGAAATCAATTAAATGCTTCCAGATTTTGCTTCTTTCTACAACAACAAAGATCCGACATTACCAGAGGAGGCACTTCACACACAGCCATCTTTGTTCACAGCAATATTTCTCTCGCTTTCTTAAGAAGTCTTCGGTACCTTGACACACGTCCTGTACATCAGAAAAGATGACAGACAGCAGTGAGATCTCCTTAAATATCTGTTCTGAACAATGGAATACCTATTTCTCAAAAATGAAGTTTTATATTTCTTGTGATTAGTCTAGGCACACCTTCCCCTTCCAAACAAGGTGATAACAGAGGTCATTTTGTAATATAAATGGCCTTCCTTTTGCCAGTGTAATATATGACAGGAGTTCTAGGATGTAGGTTAATTATAATGGTCATTCTACTAATGTCACAGTCGTGTCAAAAGTAGTATTATCAATTTATGGTGGTAAGTCCAATCTGGCATGTTAATGCAGCCTATTGTATATTTTTTCCCGTTTATCTTGCATGCCTATTAAATAAATTGGGTGAAGGTTTTAGGGAAGGCTGAAGACTACCATCTGCCTGCTAGAAGAGTAATAGTCTTGCCTCGTTATATACTCCTAACCCAGTGGCATCTCAATATGCTCCTTGACTCCATTTGATATACGTGCCCAGATTGTGCCCTGATTTACATCCCATGCCAATTCCATAAAAAAACTCAACACTTGCGGGAGGTGGAAGGCTAGGCTTGAATTTACCCTTCCGTTTTAAAGCTGAGCCAGGTTTAAATCCTGGAGTGTGCAAACCACTTTTGAAGTTGTTGCAAGATGTAGGTAGCTCTTTGACTTCAGAAGAGGCTAAATCTGCTTTTGAGAGTCAAATAGGGTTATGAGTGTCGATGGACAGAATTTGTCATACTTCATCCATCTACTTGCCTTGTCTCATTGTACTTGGGAACTAACATGACCCGTTTATGTTTTTCACATGGTATTTACCTCTTTGTCACCTAATGAGTGCATAATTCACAGATTTAATACCCAGGGGCATGTGCAAGCCCCACCATCAGGCTTTGCCAATGCGTTTTGGTTGCTGAACTTGCACAGTATGAAAACAGTTGCAGAATTTGGACTATAAGTATCGCAAGTAACAGGTTTCCCCCCAAGGCAGAGAGGATCAACCCCAGCGTGCAAACACAGCCCCAGATGAACGCAGAGGGTGTCTTACCATGCAGACAGACCTTCACCCCACAGGTTATCACATAGCCAAGCGTGTCTAGACAGGCCACTGGCGGCCTCTCCGCAAGACAGCTGTACGCTTGGAAGGTAAATGATTTGTGGAACTGTGTATGTTTAAAGCCACTCATGCATAAAGCTGTCAAATGCCATGTAGACATAGGTAGAGCATTTCTGGCTCGACATATTAACATAGCAAAAGCAAAAGGCATTGACACTTTTTATTGGGAAAGGCATCCTGACTCCCTTGTGTAGCTGGTGTAGTTTAATTCAAACCGCGGCACTTCTCTGAGGGCTGAGAAACAAAATCCTTCAGCCAGGATTTTGATGCAAGCAATGTTGCAAGAAGTCACATGTGAAAGTATTGCTGTGCAAGTGAATTGCACTTCAGGAGTGTATTTTTCATTTGCTAAATATTTTAAACAAATTAGTCTGCTAAGCTCTGTATTACGCTGGAACACAAAGGAGCGTGTAGCTGAAAAACATTCACAGTTCAGAGTTAGTGCTTTCTGCTGGGCGAGCGGAGGTGGCTGTGTCTCCCACCAGTGCCTGACCCGCGGGGAGAGCCGGCCTGCTGCGCAATAACCCTCTGACATGGGGGGCACTGCTGGCCGCACGCCTCCTGCTCAGTCCCCATCAGTAATCCCTGGGCAAACTGTAACGGAGTGACTGATTTGTCACAATAAATAACTTCCCCTGCTTTAGCCCATATTAATCCATATGTTCATTTAAGAGGAACTAAGAAGGAATATTTTTTTTAATTTTTTTTTTTTAAATGTGACTCCTTTGGGAAAAACATTTTTACATATTAGCACTAGTTAAGACTCCTTTACCTAATTCAGTAAGATGCACAGAAGAATTTTTGTCAGCATGGCTGTCAATGGACAAAAATACAAAAGATAGAAACTAGAGAAACCGCCAAAGAGCTTCTTTGCTTCGAGAATTCTGCATTTCAACATACCTACTCAAAATACTTTCGTGTTGTTAGTAGCCTAATATTAGGATTGGGATTGGGATGGGAAGGATAGCAGGAACCTGTAAATTCTATAAAAGAGTCTTGACCATAAATAACTTAAAGATTTTGGGATCATTCCATAATCTCTATTTTCAATCATCATCAGCAGCAGGCAGTAATCCTACAGAAAAAAAAGTCCACAAATAAACAAACCAATTTTCCTTTAAGAGCAGAGCTAATTCTTTTCAATCCACTTTTTTATTACACTATTTTCCCTCTATCTATTTAGCTAGCATAAGGATAAATTTCCAAAGCTACCCAGTTGGAAAATAAATGGGTTCACTGTTTGTCTAGCATTCCAATCTTCACAAATGTAAATCAGTCCAACTGCTACTCATTTAAACCTCCAACTTCACAAAACATTAAAGGACTGCTTTCAATACACAATTTAATCTGTGACAATTCACCAAGATTTCTGCTTGAACATCATTAGAAATTGACTATCAGATAAAGAGAGACCACTATCAGAGGTCAGGCGGGTCAACCTGTGTCATTTACGTAGTTTTACTGGGTCAACTACAGCAGGCACCACTATTTGAAGGTTAAATTGTTACAATTAAATACATATACAGCCATTCCCATAGCTACTCTGTTGTTAAATCTACCGTAAACAACACAAGCATTTATATGTGACCCTAATTGTGTCCAAGATGTCACCATTTGGAAATTATACAAAAAAGGACATTATAATCCGTTACACATTAAACAATACTTTACATAGCAAGATCCATAATTAGCTGGTAGAAACTGGTTTCATTTATTCACATCAGTGTTAAGGAGTTCATTTAGGTTACTTTCTTTCATTTTAATTGGAATAATGTGAGCAGTGCCTCCCAATATATTTTATAGCTGGAGAGTTCACTATAAACAAAGGCACGTAACCCTGCCAAGGCAGTCACTAGGGAAACTCTTTTTCTATGCATTGGCCCTATTCACTTGCTCCCAAAGTATCTTCAAGAAGATTGGCTTTGTCGGGGGGAAGGGTTGAGGGGGGTGTCAGTGAAGAGCCTTCTTATATTCAAGCATACTGCTTAGCTGGGAAATCCTACTTTACTCGAAGTTTGAAGCCAGCCAACCGGGAGCATTAATGTTACGTGATTTTCCTACTCATCAGAGAAAATCAAATGAAATATCTCAGTAGCGTTTTGTAGCAATCAGATCATTCTGATGCACATAATAGCATAACAAGGTAGGTATACTGATACCACAAGAGAGAGAGCAGTTAGCTAACTACATTAACAATCAACTCCTACAGGAAAAAAGAAAAAGGTTTCTCTGCATACCTGCCTGTGTGTCTCTAGTTTGCACCACAATATATTAAAGTTGTGTGTATGCTAGAAACAGTTCCCAGAACCACCGGTTTAAATCCATTCTAGTAAAATATCCAAATGGAATATAAAAAGAAACTTACCAGTATGCCTGCACAAGACAAATGTAACGTATATCTCAGATGAGCTTCCTACTGCATACCATCACTTTGTTTTTCTTCTGATTTGTGTGAAAGCAGGACATTTACTTTTCACTCAACTCAGTAGCCTGGGATATTTATTCTGTTTTATCTGTGTGTTAGTGACCTGATCCAAGACTCCCACAGTCTTTGGTGAGCTTTGAATGAAGTCTTTGGCTGGGGAAGCAAAAGTGCTTCAATGCACTAGACTTTGTTGAAAGCACAGGATTAATTCTGATAGCAGAGCAGTTCCTCTGCTGTGCTTTCACATACGTGCACACACATCTGTGTGCGCTGCGACAGACAGCAGAGGTAGGAGCCGGGTGGTCAGTACAACAAAATTGTGAACACTTGTTGTGCAATCCTTATGTGTGAGATCATATCACATCATTCATCCTGAAACTACCTTTTTTTTCCCTTTATTATTGTAATTTCAGATTTTGCGTTGGAGACAAATTTTTCCTGAAGAACAACATGATTCTGTGCCAGACAGACTATGAGGAGGGTTTAATGAAAGAAGGTTATGCACCCCAAGTTCGCTGATCTGATGCCACATCATTAAGAATACAAAGCACTATGTTCTTTTATCTTTTTTGCTCAACATGTATATAAGAAATGACACAGGAACCTACTGAATAGCATAGATATAGGGAGACAGAATGGTTGCGTGAAATAAAAGGCGGACTGCATCTGTATGTAGTGAAAATTCCTCCAGTTCAGAGTTGAATGTTAATTAAAAAGGTACTGTACATACAGCTGGATTCTTTTTGCTTGCTCTTGGGGTTTTTGGTTTGTTTGGTTTTTTTGTTTCTTTTTGTGTCATTTGGCATGAGATGTTTATTTTGGACTATTGTATATAATGTATTGTAATATTTGAAGCACAAATGTAATACAGTTTTATTGTGTTACCATTTGTGTTCCTGTTTGCTTCTTTGTATTGTTGCATTTAGTACAATCAGTGTCTAAACTTACTGTATATTTATGCTTTCTGTATCTACCAGCTATTTTAAATGAGCTGTATCTTTCTAGTAAAAAGCATTAAAGAGCAAATCCCAACCATTATGCTACACTTAGAGCTTAAGAATACTGTTTACATTAAAACTATTTAGAAAACTAATAACTCTAGCAGCACCTGCTGCTAATGAAGCTATGGTTAAGGGTCTATCAGCACCTCTGTTATAAGCCTCTATTTTTCAGGGGTTAAGCATCTGCTGTTTAATTGCATAGATTTTCCTCAAAGAGCACTTTTATTTTACTACAAAATTTTGAAAAACAAATCTGACCGGTTTGGGATATATTATAAAAGGTGCAAAAGTTAATGATTTTGGGTGCTGCTTTTGTGCCCCTTAGGCATTCAAAATGCCTGGATTTGATTTTTAATTTTGCTGGAAATTAAGCCCTAATGCAAACCAGTGCCTCTGGGTATCTTATTTTATATATATATATAAAAAAAATATATATGTTATTTTTCTGAAATGATTTAATTTGGGAGGGAGGAAAGGGAGAAGGCTTCTGTTTATACACATTTTAAAAATTTCTTAAAATTTGAGGGGTCTCTCCCCCCCCCCCTTTTTTTCTTTCTTTTTTAATCAGGGCTTAACCCTCAAGTTTTCTGGGGCTGTGTCCTCAACAAACCCTGGAAAAAAGTGAAAGTAGAAGGCACTGTAAACAGCCCCCTCTGAGGGTCTATTTACATTAAGGAAATGACCCTGAGCTGACACTAGGAGAGTGACTGGTTACTAATTACCCGCCTCAGTGAATGCTGAAGGTAATTTAAATGCTGATGTGGATGGGACAAAACTTTGAAATACCAATACAGAAAGTGAGAGCTACAACACTCCACTGCACAGGTACTTTGCTGTCCATGCCAACATCCTACAGGTTTGTCCCATCAACACTGGCAGTTAAAATCCTTTTGACAGAGGTGGAGTCACTGCTGACAGCTACTGTTGGCAATCAGTCCATTTTCTAGGAGAGGTGGACCTCTGTTTTTAAAGCCATGAAGCTATTGCATCAGCAGGACGTCCCTAAGTGCTCATGCCCCTGATAGAGCTTACAGGTGTTTGGCAAAGGAAAGCAGGATAAATGTTTTAAAAGTTTTTAAATGCATATTTAATTCTTTTCTCTTTGCCACTGTAATCTAGCTCACCATGAGAACAGCCCTCATTTAAAAAAAATGAAGGAAAAAAAAAGAAAAAAAAAAGAATGAAGGAAAAGAAACCCACTTTACCCTATGTTGCTATGAAGCTGAGCTCTTGTTTTTATTTAGACTGAAAACCCTCACCTCTGCTCAAGTTGAGTGCTGTCCTTCCCTGCTCTTCCTGTCCTGTTACGCAGTTTCAACATGTTTTTTCCTGGGGATGGCGAAAGAAATGTTGTAATGCAGTGGGGTAATTCCTCTGGTGTTTGGAGTACGCTGCACAGTGGGTTGACTTAGAATTGGCTATTTAGTTCTAATGACTGTTGTTACAGTGTGGGTTTTTTTTCTGGCTGTGAACGCTTTTAAAAGTAAGCATGGCTCACAAAACTTGACTTGGACTCATGCAGGACCAGTAAGAAATGCAACGACTCCTCAGGCAGTTCTTGCTAATTAGAAGAAATAGCTCCACATAGTTTTTCAGTTGAAGTTTAGCCCTATTTTGTGGACCATCTTCCTTCCTAAACATGAGCACAAGTCTCTCCTCCACTACCTTCCACAGTTCCTTAATGTCTTTGGGATAACAAAGCAGCTGATGTCAGAGGTACTGTTAGGCTCTTCCAGATCTACTTCAAGTGCAATAAACAAGTTCTCCTTTCCATGAAGGTGAGGATGGCCAGAAAGGGAAGAATCATATTATCTTATTTTGATTCCTATTGCAATTTTCTCTTCTAGCCTCTGATGTGTCTTTCAGTTAGAAGCCAGAAAGAGCTCTCTTCTGCTTTCCACTAGTAGACTACAGACATAGAAATCCCTGGTTCAGAAATAGGGGTGGGGAACAGGAAAGAAGGGACCTTGGTTCTGTCTTTGACTTGCTGTAAGCTTGGGCGAGTCACTCACTCACCTTCTCCGTGCCTCAGTTGCCCCTGTCTGCCGCATGGGGCTAATGCAAACACTGCTTTTGTAAAGCATTTTTGGCTCTTCAGAAAACCAAGAGCTATGCATGCAAATGTTACTAGTAGTGTCAGGACTTTCTGGGAGAAGCAGGGCATTCCTATGTGCAGCAGATAACCACAGATCTGAGGTAGGAGTGCACCAAAACCAACTAAGCCTGTGGAAGGCTTTGTTGGGGATGAAGGCAACTACACACTAATAGTGCTGTAAATGCTAAAGCACTCTCTCATTACCACAAAGTGCCACTGCTCAGCTCTCTATGGGGTAAATGAAGAGAGTGGAATGGGAAAATAGTGGCTTATTGCTACATGCCATGTTACTCATGTGCATATGTGTGTTTTGCGACATAAGCTCAAAATAGGGAAGAGGAGGGTGGTCCTGCTATGGAGAAGAAAATAGTCTCACCATTCTAACAACCTTAACTGATGTAAGGATAAAGCAATGTCGATATGCTTGTTTGAAGTGCTGCAATGGTATGGCATTACTTTGGGCACTTTCAGCTCATATGTCTTATTCACATACATATCTAAAATTTGTATGTAGAGGATACAGTATAAACTTAGATTTGACATAGGTCAAAGATTGATTACACTTTTTCCTGTATTTCAAACTTCCATCTTGCCTGGCTGTTAAAATAATAACTGGGAGTTGAAATATTTAATGGAAACATTTACAACTCCAATAAAGTATAATATCATAAGACAATATTGAAGAGAGATTATCTGCCAGGCCGCTTTATTGATCTTCTTGACAGAGGCCTAGACCATTCCTTTGGGTTGCTTTTAGTTATATCTACCTTACGTTTCCTTCTCCATCACTGTCTGCGTCAACATGCTCTGTCTGCACACAGCAAAACATTCTGCTAGTGACCATTGCTCAGTGTATGCTCATTTGCCAGACAGGAATGTTTCCATTTGTATCGCCTATCTTTAGGGTACTTTATCTCTATCTGTACAAATCTCTTGAGTTTAGCCAGACAAAAATAATAATAATAATTTTAAAATCTATTATTCTTGGGTTGCTGTTTTTTAAGCCACATGGAAAAGTACCAATTATCAAACCTTGATTTTCAACTGTAGAAAGCTCCTCTGCCAACCATAACCTGCTGTGTCTGTTATCTGCCGTGACTGGTGATGAATCAAGACAGCCTGGATTCTGCAGTAGCAGCGACCAGGGCTAAAAGTTGATCTATTTCATAATTGTATTTTTATTTTGCTTAACGTGTTTTCTGGGTTGTTTTTCTTTAAGCACACTTTCTTGCCTTTTCCTACCCTCCCCAAATGCTCAAATTTATGTTCATGTAATGTAAATAAAGAAAAATCATCGAGCAACCCCTCAAATGTTCCTAATTGCCTACGTATAAAGTGACTTGAAGAAAATAGGTTGAAAAGTGGTCAGTGAGAAGGGAGACTGGGGGGAAAAGAAATAAAAAAGCAGGGACGGTGGCAAGGTTTCGCCTGTACAGACAAAGTACTTTAAAGGCTTTTTTCAACGTAATATACAGCATCTTCTTATAATTTTCTCAGCAGTAGGTAGTTTACAGTCATCTGTACCTAGAACAAATCTTGTCATATATGAAGGTCTGTAGTGATTGCTGGGTATAATTTTATACATTTAGCTGATTCTTCTGAAAGCTTCCACTGTGCTGCTGTTGTCAGACTAAATTATCAATTTAGCCATTTGTTGTTTAATGAATAAAAAACTCCTATGGCATTGGAGATGTTGTGGTTTCAATAAAGCAAAAGCTTTAACAACTCAAACTACAGAAAGCAAAGTGTGTACTGTATATAAGAACAGTGTTTTTATTCTTTTAAATGCCACTTTAGATAAAAAAAAGCCAATTACATATTCACTTAATACATTTCTCCTACTTCAGTCCAATGATGCAGACCAAACCTGTTTACTGTTCAGTACCTTGCAAAAGGAAACCAAAATACAATATGTGCAAGGTAATAGGCCATTAGCACAAACATGCTCCCAGTAAAAATCTTTTGTGTAGGCGCCCTTTCTAGAAGCTGCCAATTGTGGGTGATAGAAGTATTATAAAGGAAGTGATTTTAATACTATTTAAGGCATTAAAAGCTGAAGAGTATCTGTTTAAAGCCTTAAAGTAAGGGTTGCATGTATCTAATACCTTTTAAAATGCCCTTCTGCTGATTTATATTCATCCTGAACCTGCTAATAATGAGTATACATAAGCAAATACCATCTTCCACCTATTCAGCGTGTCATTGGTATGAAAGCCCCAGAAAATATCTCACGTAATCAGTGTGTTCAGAGAGTTATCTAGCACAAATTACTCATTAACTCAATAGCACATAATAAAAAAGAACATCAATTAATTAATGAGTCACCCTCAGATCACTTTGATTACAACACAGCTCTGTTGAAACAGCAGTTATAAATGGAGCTGCCTCTCTTTATTCATTGTTTGCAATTGGCCCATTATTTTGCAGAGACCAGTGTCATATTTAACACATGCCTGCAGGTAATTGTGTGATTAGTTTCATAAATGAAGATGCAGAGGGAGAACGCGGAGCGGCTCGCTCTGCAGTCGAGTCTGAGGATGCAGGAATCCACCGTCCCTCCCGCAACCCGCCGTGCCGGCAGAGCTCCGCGGCCCCGCCAGGCCAGCCGGCCGCCGGACCGCGAGGTCAACACGCAGAAGGGGTCCCGCTGGCCTCTGCTCTAATCTGAAGGTCTCGAAGCCCTGGGCAAGCCCCCTTGGCTTAGACCTCCCGTCAGGCCGCGTCGCTGGTATTTCACGGAGGAGAAGAACACGGCGGCGGAGAGATGAAGCGGGCTGCCCAAGATCACGCAGCAAGCCTGCGTTCCTCGAACCCCGCCATTAGCACGAGTCGTGCGCCCTCACACCACACCGCCCCATCCCGCGCCTTGCCAAGGCAGGCGCCGGTGCCACACTTGGAGCAACACCACGTGCAAACTCCTCCTCGACGCTCGGGGAGGGACCGAGGAGCAGGGAGAGGGTGAACAGCCAGAGCGTCGCTGGGGTGAACTCTGTTTGG